GAATTCAAGAAGATACAGGCCGCCAATGCGTCAGAGGGACCAGCCTCGAAGGTCGCCAGGACGACCACCTCAGGAACGATGGGAACAGAAAAGGGATCGGGTTCGATCCCCGATCACGTGTTTCGCGTGTGGACGACACGGCCACATCGCAAGAGATTGTGAGGCGAGAAGAAAGCCCACAACAGAGAGGGGGCAGCACTGCCCAAACTAACTTCGGCGGTAGAGAACCCCGTCGCCCGCCGAAGAGAAGCCGCGTGCATCCCACTCGCGAGGACGCGAGAGAACAACGAACTATGCATTGAAAAGAAGGTCCAAGGGACGAAACATGAATTAGTCATTGATACAGGAACGGACGTGAGTTGAGTCCAATCCTACGTGGGGGATGCGCCCACGCAGGAAATTGGAGACGCGGTTAGGGGTATAACCTGAGAAGAATTAGAAATTGAAGGTTCCAGGAAATCAGAATTTTTGATAGGAGTCAGAGGGTACGCCCACGAATTTGTAGTAGCACCCTTCCCGGTTAAGAAGGACGGGATTATGGGACTTGATTTGCTGACAGTGTTGAGAGCCAACATAGACGTAGCCGCCTGGGAAATAACCCTGGACGGCCAGAAAATTAGACTGGCAAATCACCCGTTAGGTGGGAGAAAGGAGAACCGACAGCAACTGTCGGTATGTCGGACGGATCTGCTACCTCCGACAAATACAGAGGAAAGGCCACAGATCGCTCCAAGGACGACCACAGAGCCGAGAAGACCGACAGTGGAAGCGATAAGGGAGGGGCCGCAATCAAACCCACCAGTACAGAATTGCAGAGTGAGAAAGAACAAGTGGAGGAACCCCACCAGCGGCAGGCAGTGTTGCCACAAACAATACATCTTGAGCCTCGAACACTCTTGATTACGAGGGCTAAGATCACAGATCTACAATTAAAAGCCTCCCCGAAAGCATCCCTTAAGGGACTGGGTCATGCAGAACCCGTAGAAATACCACTTACGAGGGATTTATGTAGCTCGTACAGTTTCCAATAGTTTTACAAGTTTGAACTTAGTCGACAGCGAGCAACACAAGACGCGTAAACAGGTTGAAGAACTCGCTGACAAAGACAAGAGTCAAAGTCCGAACGAGACAGTTTACTGTACTGCCCAGCTGGTCAACACGAGCGGAGATTGGATCACGTTCAGGAAGGAACGAAAGTCACTGACGTATATGACGTCAAGGCAAAACACCTCAGAAATGACGTCACGCAGAGTGACATGAACAAAGGCCTGAATGTATTAAGGGCGGATCGGGACTCGCCCTACCGTCTGACACAAGGGACGGAGATGAGAGTTCCAGCGGACCGTGAGCTGGAAGCTTACGAAAGGAGGCAAGCGCACGAGGGCGCGTGGCCAGATTGGCCGGAGAAATGAGACGAGCTCACAGGACGGCTAGGAGAAGGCTGAGCTAGGTAAGAAGAGACCAGCATGCTCGCTACGATAAGAGCGCAAAGACGGTGGAATACCGCCCAGGTCAGCTGGTGTACCGCAAACAGATGGTCCGAGCAAGGAAACTGGACCCAAAATGGATAGGACCGTATAGAGTGATACGGAAGGTCTCTGACCTAATTTACAGAATCCAGATAGGAAAGAGGGAGGCAAACCTCCATGTCGAACAGTTGAAATTTTATTAACCACATTTCCAAAATTCTTTTCAGATACCTGTGGACAGGTTGCCAGTGTATGATATGGTGACCTGCTGCAACGACCATGACATATGCTACGACACATGCGGGGAAAAGAAAGAACTGTGCGATTTTGAGTTTAAGAAATGCTTGTACACAGCATGTAGAAGAAATGATATTGTGTCTGGTCTGACAGGAGGGAAAGGTATGAACAACATGTGTAAACGGACACCATCATTAAATCTTCTGCCTTACATAAGGTATAAGGTAAGGCGGCCCCTGTGTTTGATTAAGCACCATGCAGTGAAAACTGGTAGTTGAGAGGAAGTAAAGCTCCACACATTCTTAACCTTGGCACTAGATAGATGTGAGTGGTCAGCTTCATGCTCCAGCTGCTTTACCCCTGAGGAAATGACTTGTGATACTCATTGGATGGGAGGCTGGATGCTCTGAAGAAGAGAAAAAATGTCCCCCCCCATCAAATCTAATTCAATTTAGTGATATTCGTCTCTCTGATACGTCATTTCAGTAAGTAGAATAGGACCTTTGTTAATGTTTTTGTGTATTTTCATACTTCAGAGTATGGTACACTGATCATTAACATTGCATCTGCTTTCAGGATGTAAGGTAGTAGCCAAGCTTTCATTCACTGCTACAATGACATTAGGTTGCAAGTCATACCTAGACAGTCAGGAGGAGGCATGCACCTGCATTCCAAGGAAGAAGAAGTACACGAGAGGTGGCAAGTCTGGCGAGCTGTAGAAAGTTGTGCCATACTGTCATGTCAGCAATACCGGCAGCTACATTGATTAAATACACAACAGGATGCAAGAAACAATTAAAAATGTGATGTGTTCATGGTTTGCCAATGGAAGTATTAATACTCATAACTGTGGCCTGTTAAAGTACTTTATTGATTTCTGTGTCCACCTATTCATTATTTTAATCCTTTTTTAGATGATGTAACACTCATTCTTTGCCAGTTAAAATTATATTGTTATAAACTCCTGTGGGTAGCCCAATGTGGACTTTGAGTCACGATCCGTACGCAAATTCTAAAAGAGAAGGCATCCAAGCAGTCTTTTTAGCGATCTCAAACCTCGCGGCCAGAAGTTGAATGTAGTGTGTTGGTGTCGTCCACTATGGACAAGAGTTGAATAAAGTGTCTGGTGCAACAAAGTGCGTGTGTGTTGTAACAGGAGTTCCCACTTCCCTTTCTGAGCGACGCCCTGCCAAACGGCCTGAGGACCGAATCTCAGCTCTACCGGCAGAACTAGCTACCCTCGTATCCATCCTTCATACCTCCCATAAATCTGTAAACTGATGATAGCAGTTTACTGGCGCCCAATTCAAACCCATCCCCGTAAAGATCAGAGATCTGAAAATAGGGTAAGTTAAGCAGGGTAAAGGCAGCGGTAGCCGCCGTCGCCCGTAGCAGTCCAGCAGCCAGCGGCTGAAGACCAAAGACGCTCAACGTAAGGGTTAAATGTGGATTAAAGCAAAGATGGTGTCAAACGTGTAGACGACGATTAGAGACTACAGCATCCTTCCAGCAACTGTATATACTTACATAGTTGTGTGTTTTGATGTAGAGTGATGCATGTGTTTTGTATGGGGCTTGGGTCCCTTGAGCAGCAGAGGTATATTGTATAATTACTACCAAAGCAATAAAACATATTGTGATAAACTGCTGTTGATTATTCTCAAAGTTTCATTTTTTGCACATCTATCCACTTAACATATTAAAGCAAAGATGGAGGCAAACGTGTAGACGACGATTAAAACAAAGTGGAGCGACAATGAATGGGGCATGATATCTCAGCAAAGGAAGGATGAGGAGGAGAGGAGCCACATACACCACGCTTAACTTCGCCAACAACCAACACCAAACACCAGGGTCATCGCAACAGCAACATACTACAAAGGGTTAGGACGGCCGGAACTACAAACTAGTAATCAAACGAAGGTTGTCGAGACATAACTCACAGGTTAGTGTCTAAGAGTGAAAATGGCGAGCCGATCCCTTCGTAACCACACAGTAGAGGGACAGCAGGAGGACCAGAAATTACCGGCTGCGGAGAGTGCCAGTGCAAACTGCAGCGAACCATCAGAGATCTTAGGCAATCTAGGCGAGATAGAAGGACAATCGCTCAGCTCACCACAGGAGTCAGAGTTAGTGTCCCAACCAGATGTGTTAACTGTAGAGCATCAAGTTCCCAGCCTCACACTCCAGGGGCCACGGACGAACTTAAACAAATGCTGGCTGGATTCATGACCGTGATCCAGGAAAGCAATACACAGTATCAGGAGTCAATTGGGGCAAACATAGGCAGTGTCCGAGCAGATCTTAAAGCGGAAAGTAAAAACCTAATCCAACAATTTGAGAGGCAAAACCAGGAGGCTAGGCGAGAATTTATGGCACAGTTAGACGCAGAAGCCCGGCGAGTAACCAGCCTAGTTTCTAAGATGCAAAAAGAGACCGAATTGGAATTAGGAGGGGTGAAAAAGCAGGTGATAGACATTAGTACTGACTTCGAGACCAGGTTAGAGCACGCCAGCACTAACACTCAACTGGTGATTAACGAGTTGTCGGACCAGACTGCAGCACACAGGTCCGAGGTAGACGCCAGCTTGGCCAACTTAGGGCAAGAGGTAGACTGCAGATTCACACGCCAGAAGGAGAGACTAGAGGAAATTGCCCAAGCGTCCATCCAGGAGAAATCCGAGGTGGATTGCAAACTTGATAAGATTAACGAAAAGGTAATAACCTTAGAAGGAAAATTTCATGCACTGTCGAATAGGCAGCATTTGGCAGCCGATGTGCTCGAAATGGGCCACGGCACAACTTCTCCTTCCGACGTGCGTCAGAATGACCAGTCCCCAGTTCCAGTAGATACTAGTGGTAACAATGGGATGACTAGTGGGAATGGTAGTTGCTCTTGCCAGTCGACTCATTGTAACGTAGTTACTAATAGTGCCATGAATGTATGTAGTGTGAATGGGCCTACGGAACAAGCAGCTGTGTGGAGTTTCTTAAGTAGTGTTGAACTTCCGTTACCGTTTGACGACACCACGGACACAAACCCGGTATTTTATCTCCGGCGTTTGGAGGAATTTTTTGAATTAAAAAATTTGCAGCAGGCTTTACATTTAGCCGTTGCCTGCAGATCCGTGGTCGGGCAGATGGGTAAACAGTGGACAGAGGCAGGTAGCTGGAATCTAACCAATTACCAGTCATTCAAAGTGGCATTTTTGGGTTATTGGTGGTCGCCAGTTCTTCAGAATTTAATTAGGTGTAGTTTGTACCAAGCAAAGTACAATAGGAAGTCAAGCTTGTCATTATCGGGGCATTTTTGAAGTACGCTACCATTGCCACTTATCTAGATCCATGGCCTAGCGACTGAGAAATAGTGGAAGCTCTATGCCACCATTTCCCGATAGGAATGCAAAGGGTTATGTTGGCTACCCAGTTCTGCACTGTTGAGGAAACCCTCGATTTACTAAAAAGGGTGGAACTTATGGAGTTCGATGGAGGGTTCCTGAGGCCCCAGAACCAGCCCCAATCCCAGAATCCCAACGGCGCAAGACCAGGTAATCAACAAGCAAGAAATGACAAAAGGGGTGGAACCCAAAACCAGGTCAGACAAGTCCAGTTCTCACTATCCCGAAACCGTTACAATGGCAATAGGAGACATAACAATAATTACCAGAACTACAACAGAGACAGGGATAGAGAATCCCAGGGTGGAAGCTCCAAGCCCCTTAAACTGAATGTGCCCCCGTTCACAGGACAGGGACAGACGCAGACTAACAACTCCAGTAACCATTCAGAAAACTGATGACAGGAGTCATTAGGGACCAAATGGCCCCCATGCTAGGACCCAGCATTTTTCCAGGTCCACCCAGCCTAACCAAATTGACTAAAGGCCAACTAGAGCCTGAATTAAGGTGTAATTTCGAAGGAACTACGAGATGTATAGTACTTTTCATTAATGAAGCTAATTGAGGACACAGCCCTCAGATTGAAATTAAGATTTCAGAAATTGTTTAGATTAACGCGATATTGGATTCAGGCAGCGAGGTAAACCTACTGTAAGAGGGAGTTTATGAAGAGTTCATAAGGACGGGTTTAAGAATGCCCATATTACAAGTAGAAAATGTAGTGCTCATGACAGCTTTCGGCAGAAGATCCAAAAAGATTCGTCGGCAAGCGCTAATCGATTTTTCGATAGGCCAAGATTTCTTAGAGGGAGTGCTTTTATTGTCTTCTCAGTTAGTTAGTTAGTTAGTTAGTTATTGGAGAGGGTGGGTTTCCCCATGCACTTAAGACCAGTATTGGTCCAATGTGCTTCCCTCTATGATATTCTAAAAGTCTCTATACCCTACCGATATTGGTGCATGCCATCAGTCACAACCGAGCCGGCAAGTTCGGCCTCTATTGGCTTGGAGGTATCTTTAATGCTTCCCCCATCTATCAGAGGCTTTAGAGACTACTGTTGGGCAGGAAACATCCTTGAATTTGGCTCAGTGACCTCCTTTGGAGATATGAGGTTCTTTTACGTGCCGTAAAGCTACGACACGGGACCCACGGCTTAAAGTCCCTCCCGGAGGACTTGTTCCCCGAATTTTTCGGCCCTTTAAAAAACCACGACCTCCGCCGGGTTTGAACCTGCGTACCACGAGTCATGAGGTGGGAACGTTACCTCTAGACTACAGAGGCCGCTTGTCTTCCCAGTTAACTAATGACGCTATCATTGGATGTCAATTTTTGATGGAATATGGTTTCAGGATTAACTTTGACACTAGGACGTTCAGTTATGTAAGAGATGGCACAATTACTGAAGAGTCGTTTGTTATTAAGGAAAGGTTGACTGAAGCAGACAGTGATGATCGAAGGGTGAAAAGGGAACCTTCTTACCCACTCCACTTTTTAGCAGGTCAGCAACCCCTAAACCCACCAGCTGACTGTGTACCACCTTCCCCCACCAGGACAGTTCACAGCTGCTCTAGGGCTCCACACGAGCAGACTGTAATAGGCAGTGAGTTGTTACTACGCACTCTATTCGGTTTGAAGACCGAAAGAATGTTAGGTGACGTATCAAGGGACGAGGATTCCCTAATTCACGGCGTTGTTTGCGACCGAATGATAAATGAAGCCAGGTGTGCTCATATGGATAAGGCTGCAAGTGGAAGTGGCCATAGCAGAGATTCTGCTAATCGAGTCTTACAGGTGGTAAGAAATTTACACTTGTGCAAGAAGTATTTGATGACCCCCCTCGTTGGTGTCTCCACCTTATCGTGGTGAGGGGGTTTGAGTATGCCAAGGACCCTGAGAGCTATACCAGCGGTAGCGTAGCTACTGGCAGGGCCTCCCTTGCTGGACAGGTCAAAGGGTAGGCATCAGACGAAGAGAGACACCAAAAACCAAAAACTGATGCCGGAAGCAGCGTCATCAGCAGCGACTTGAAGCACAGAGCAAATGATGCTCGAGATGGTTGAAGTTCGTATAGCAGCAGGCGTGACCAGAGTGGTTTGAACGGCTGCTGTACTGCGATGTGGAAAGCAAATGGAAAAACTACCACATTATCACTTTTCCTGGATAGTCTCTTTCAAAAACAGAAGATCGCATTAAGTGGAGGAACTGTTTTGGAAGAAGCTGTGGACCTGTCGTCTGACAGATTACTGATGAATGAGAAGAGGAATGCAAATACACATGTCCAGATGGTATGTATTTTATTGATTTGCAGGATATGTAGAATAGCATTGTAAGTAGGCATGGAGCGAAGGTAAGAAGGAAAGTAGAACAGCAGCTGGAAGTACATGTATTCACGTCATGGATACCACTTGGATCAGCTTGAATTGAAGTATGAAGAATGTGTAGGATGTTCATCAAATTGCGTGTTTTCAGGTGGTGATGCAATGCAAAACAAGTATCACAAGCCCTGTAGCAATGGCTGTGGCTCCTTTTGGATTTCAGGTTAGACTTGTGTTAACAGACCAGTCTATTTTTATACTTTTTAAAAACTTACATGCAAAGCAGCACATCTTTATAATATGATGATTAGTTCTGTTATTTATGTTGCTGGAGTGGTTTCTGTTATTCTATAATAAAATTCAAAATTCAGAAGGTTGGTTAGGTTTCAGTATAACCCTTGCACCGGTACCTATGTTGATCTATTGTGCTTAGTTTTGAACTAAATAATAAGTAAGAAACTATACTCATAACATTAAAATGTCTGTATTGTGAACCATATTTTGTTATTAACCACATTTCCAAA